AATAATTTTAAATATTATGTTAAAAAATTTAATTACTATGTAAAATAATTAAAATAATCAATTGCCAGAGATAAGACTCCAGTGTTAACTTGCTATGTAAAATATTGGTACATATTGCCAAGTTACCCTCTGAAAAACAGTTTCCTTAATTACAAAAGAGTGAAAGAATAACGGGCTATGGCCTTTCTGGAGGGCCATCTGATGTCATTGCCCAAAATGTGAGGGGCCACGCACATTGACACAGCAATTCCACTTTGGGGAGTTGGTCCTATAGAAATAATTGCACCAGAAACTGTTTAGTGAGGAACTACTGACACTAAGCTTCAGGGCTACTCACTTGTATGAACCTGTTAAAAGAAAAAACTTTAGGCAAATTAAATTTAATATAGTTTAATTGAGCAAAGACTGATTCACAGATTGCGCAGCTCCCCCACCACTCCCTACACTCCCCTCCGAACCAGAATAGGTTCAGAGCAGCTGTGGTGCTGTGCATGGTCAAAGAGGATTTATGGACAGAAACAGGATGTGAAGTACAGAAACAGCTGGATGGGTTACAGCTTGGTGTTTGCCTTATTTGAACATGGTTTGAACAGTTGGCCGCCTGTGATTTGCCGAAACACAGCGATTAGTACAAGAGTAGTTCACAGTCTGTTCACACATCCAGTTAGTAAACAGTTCACTGTATATGAAGAAATATTTAGGTCCAATCTGAAATAAGTAAGGAGATAGCTTTAGGCTAAACTTATTTTAACAGATCACAGTCACTTTGTATTTTTAATTACCAAAAGAATGATGCTCCCATATATGCCACAACATGAGTGAACCTTGAAAATATTCTGCTAAGCAAAATAAGCCAGAAACTAAAGGTCACATATTTTATGATTCCACGTATATGAAATATCCAGAACAGGTAAATCCATAGACAGAAGGCAGATTAGTGATTGCTGGGGACTGGGGGGAGAAGGGAATGGGGGCTGACTGTTTAATGGGTGCAGGGCTTCCTTTGGGGATGATGGAATTGTTGGGGAATCATATAGTGATGACAGTTACGCAACATTGTGAATATACCAACACCACTGAATTGTACACGTTAAAATGGATAAAGTGGTGAATTTTATGTTATGTGTGTCTTGTAACAGTAAAATTAATGGGTTAATTTTTTTTTTTTTTTTTTGAGATGGAGTCTCGTTCTGTCTCCAAGCTGGAATGCAATGGCTCGATCTCTGCTCACTGCAACCTCCGTCTCCTGGGTTCAAGCGATTCTCCTGCCTCAGCCTCCCAAGTAGCTGGGACTACAGGCATGTGCCACCACATCCAGCTAATTTTTATATTTTTTGTAGAGACAGGGTTTCACCATGTTGGGCAGGATGGTCTTGATCTCTTGACCTTGTGATCCACCCACCTCAGCCTCCCAAAGTGCTGGGATTACAGGCGTGAGCCACCGCACCTGGGCGATTGATTCATATTTCAAAAAGGGCAGTGGGCCAGATTTGGCCTGAGGGCCATAGTTGCTGCTCCCAGGTCTGCAGCCACACTGCTGATCTGTGTGACAGCAGGTTCCTTAGCCTTGCTGTGCCTCAGAAGGTTGTGTGAGGATGAGAAGAGTTAATACTTACAAAGGGCTTAAAGTAGTGTTTGGAACACAGGACATATGCAAGAGTAGCTCGCTGTTGTCATTACTGTTGTTGTTAATAGTACACCTCTTAGAGTCACAGAGCCCTTTGAGGATTTAAGGAAAATTATGAACCTTCTAAGAAAAACCAATGCACCTATGCACACGTGAGAAAGTTCCACAAGGTTACAAGCCCAGGCAGAGCCAGGGGCCTAACTAGAACCCCTAGACATCTGTGTCACCCAGCTGTCACCATCAGCAGGATTTAGTGACTGAGAGAGAAAAGAGGCACGGCCATCAGGAGGAGGCCAGAGGAAACGGAAATGAAGGTTGGGAGGGTGCCTGAGAAGAGGGCAGGAGGGTCTCAGAGTCAGAGTCAGACTCTGCCCAGGTGGCGGTTTATCTAGACACTGCTATGGCCGGCTTCCCCTGACCATTCACAGTGGCCAGTTGCATCCAGGACACAGCTGGTTGGGGGGCAGGGCTGGCACACTTTGCCTTAGACAGAGCTAGCATGACAGTGAGGTGCCAGCCAGGAGGGCCTAACCAGCTGTTATCCAGACCGCATCAACTCTAATGTCTTATTTTCCATATTCTGTATATACACTGGCATTTGGAGCCCTGATCCTGGAGAACCTGCCCCTCCAGGGCAAGCTAATTCCTGGAGATAGCACATGACTCACTGCAGGCACTCCTATGATATGCAAATCAACCAGCCCAGAGCCCATGCCCCACTAACTCCTTCCCCAAACTCTCCACACCAAGCCAGTATTTCCCTTAAACCACCCAGGACCAGGAACCAGGCAAAAGAGATCACCCAATGGCCCAGAGCGCACCAAAGTTATTCAAATTTGTCAATCCTAAGGTCACCATACGCATCCCTTCCTGCAAAAACCCCAAAAAAGGCTCTGGGCCACACCCTCCCCTCTCGCCTCTCTCTGCTTCCTGACCAACCCTGGTGCTTGCCGCATGGCCCTGCAGGACACAATGGCCGTACCTCTTCTTCCTAGGGATTTGTGAATATGAACTTCTTCCCTCATGATAGTCATTTCCACACCTACATGTCTTACTACACTTGATTAAAACAAATCCCAGGTACAGATTTTAATACACATACCTCACAGCTATACTGGAACTGGTCATCACACACACGAAGGAATTGGACCTCAGACTAGCTCCATCATGATGGGAATAAAGGGCTGGATCCCTTTATTATGCTATCCACATATCACACGTGTCCAGGCCACTGGTATTATATCTTGCAATGCAAGATGTGAAAACAGGAAGTTTGGAATGAAATATCCAGCAAGAGACCTCCAACTCTCTACTTACTGGTTCTTGTTTCCTCCCTCCCCACACAGGCCTGCAGGTGTATCATTATCACCCCCTTCTCACCCTCCCAGACCCTCTGCTCCCAGAAGGAATCTTCCTGGGGCTCGTCTGTGAATGTAGATTGGAGCTGGAAATTCCCAGGGCTGTGTACTCAGGAGAAGGGTTAGGTTTCTAGTATACAGCGGTGCCTATCACTGGGGAGGCTTTCCTTGGCCTGTTTGGCAGATAACATTTTTAAGTAAATATAGACCTGATTGTCTTCTACAGGATATTTTGTCTGTCTGTGCTGTTTCTTTTTTCCTCTCCTTTGCATATAATCTTTTGGGTCCCAGAGCCCAGTTGGTGTGTACACCACCACTAAGTGTGAAGATGTTCAGTAACCCCTGGGGCTCCCCTTCTTTTGTGGGGGGCAACCTCAGGAAGGAAAAAAAATAAAATTCAAAAAGTGAAGTGGCATAAACTCCCTGTTTCAAAATAAGGAGAAAGAAGAAAGGCTCGGGGTAGTAATAACTGTGTTGATGATAATGGAAATAATAGTTTCCATTGAGTAAGTGTGCTTTTATCCTAAAAGCTACACGGGGGGCATCCCTGCTTAAATTCTTGAAACCAGCTCCCCCGTGGGATCTGAGAGGCTTCTCCTACCTGGGTTCCCCGCTCTGCTCCTGCACCCATTGGGAGCCTGGGCCACGGGCAGCTCTTGCAGCCTCTGCTCCTCCTCCCAGAAGTAGGGCCCTGCAGGGGCTCTGACCCGAGCACATGTTCTGTTGTCTCTTCTTTCAGGTAAACTCCTTTTATTGGTCGGGGAATGAATAGTGGAGGTGCTTGGGGCTTGGGCAGAGACATGTGCCGAACGTCTCACTTTAGTAAGAGCTTGAGTCGGACAGCCTGGGTTCAAATCCTAATTCTGCCACTTCCTAGCTACGTGGTCTCTGTCTTCCCAATCAAATCAAAGATAAAGTCAAGATCAAAATGTGGACAACCCTATACTTATAGATTAAAAACTTAGTTGAACTAGGAAGAGCGTAAATGCTCATTCTTTGAAGTGGTGTAAATGGTTGATTGCGTAAGATTCTGTTTTAGTAGGTTAAGTGTTTACAGAATTGCTGTAAACCAAGTGGAGTAATACCACAGAAGAAATAGTTTGATAACCTTTCTCTTGGAGTCCTGCTAACGGCTTCAATAAACAATGAGACATCACTTGTAACAAAAATAACTTTCACAGGAGAGAAAGAAAAGGAGGAAAGAGGGAGGAAGGGAGGGAGGTAAATAAAGAGGAAGGAAGGAAGGAAGGAAAACTAACATCTAGTGTTCTGTTAGGTGCTAATTATTCAAGTTTCAGTATATTTTCTTAAGTGGAAATATACAAATATGTATATAACTTCACTTTTATGATTTCAGTATACTCCTTACAAATGTTTTTATTGAGTTTTCTCTCTTTAAATTGTTGCTTTTATATAGGTAGGACCCTGCATGATAGTTTCAGAGTTAACTCCTCTCTTTCCTTACCCAAAAAATTTCATCTATAAAATTTGGTTCTGCTATTAAATAAAGCATCCAGCTTAATGTAAATGGGCCTATTAAAATACTTTTACAGACTCAACATTAAATATCACTTCAGCAGGATAAAATCTGAGTATCAATATTAGATGAGGTTGTCATGTATAATGTAAGTTATAAATTTATACTCCACTGAACCAAGTAATGGGTATGCAATTAGTAGCATAGTCAAAGGATTTGATAAAAACCAAAGCTATTTCTGTTATCAGATGAATGAGGATTCTAAATGTTTTTCCTAAGGACAAAATGTGCTCTTCCACCATGGGATAAGAGCCACTCTAAAATGAGAAGTCGATCTCACTTGGATGCATTTTATTGGAAAACACTCACCAGGGTCAATTCCTGCTCCAACTGGTAGAGAACTCAGCAGACCGTGATATGTCATCACCAGATTCCATTCAAGGATTAATGACTCCAAAGAACCAGATGCCTCTCTAAGTCTTCCTGTAATGTTACACCCAAGTGTGACTCGTCCCACCATTCCAGTCCCCTTTACACACCAAGGTGCAGAGACTGGCTTTTCACAAATCACAGGGGAATAGGGCACATGGATAATCCAGCCCATGCTCTAAATCATCTCTCTTGGTTTGGGCCAAGTCATAGTTCTCGTGGGACCTGCCAAAACAGAAGCTCGCCTTCTCTGGGACGGGTGGGGTAGTAAGAGATGGGATTTGTTTAGAACCATCTCTCACCACGAGGGAAGGCTACAATGTCCCTGGAAAGATATTGTCTGGTTCTGGTACTAATTCGGCTCCAATGACCTTGAAAGGTTAAGGGATTTCTGTAACTCCTCCACTACATATATAAGGGCTGCAACAATGCGATTTCAGGACAGCATCTGTGACCTTCTCGAGCCGGAGCTGAAGAATCAAGAGCGGGCCCGGGAGGCTTGCCCTCCTTTGCACCCTAGCTGGGTATCAGTCCACCTGTAAATTCATCTTTAAGGTACAGTACATTGAGCTTGTGTTGTCAAGTGTGGGAACATCTTGCAACTTGGGATGAAAATTGAAGCAGGTATCACCCCTTATATGTGTGTGCTTTATTGACCACTTGAATTCATTTTCTCTTCACCTTGAACACCTATGCTGTACCAGTTGGGAATAACAGGTGGGGCAGTAGATTTTTTTCCATCTCTGATGTTTTTCTCTCTTTTCCTAAATGTCAATGATGCAGAAATTTCATGTTAAAGACTGTGGGGAAAGCCAGAAATTAGTGTCAATCTCACCGAGCAGGGCTCTTTTGAGATTAACCAAAATAAAGGTATGTCTCATGTTGGTTGATGGATAATTTAGTCCCAAGAAAATGTTCATTGTAGGTGCTGGATCATGGAAGCTTCTCAGAAAGCTGACGATGGGCGGATTAATCATTAATCTGGGGTTTTTACTTGACTAACCTGAGACTTGGGAAATTCAACTGTAGAATTCCCTTTCATCTGAGGTGATACAGTTGACTCTTCCCTAGCCCCTCATCAGATGGACTCAAGTGCATGAGCCTCACACAAAGTCAAGCTATGTTTTGTGTTATTTGATTACATTGATATTTAATTTAATGTTATTTGGTTACATTGATATTTAATTTAAATTTTATTATAAAAGTGAGTTCCAGCACTCTTTAAGTATAAGTTAATTAGGAAAGTACATTTAAGAACTGCCACTGGAATTGTGACTTTTCCAAATTGGTAACATTTTACTGAAAATAGAACTAATCCTCTCAATAGATGTACACTGTAGAAAAAACTACTTTTGCTGGGGTGGGGGATGCAGAAAAACAGAATTGCTTGTTTATCAAAGAATAGTCTCCTTTTGCTAAAGCCTATCTAATTATTGATATTTGCCCTTCACATGTGTGCAAAGCAACTAGATATCCTCATTTGAAGGTGAAAAAACTGAAACACAAAGTCCCCGTAATTTTGAAGACACAGATTATTCCCTTGAACTAGAGACTGATGATTTTTTCCTATTACAGCCAGATGGACCTCAATGAACCTGTAGATCTAACACCTCAACTCACAGATGAGGAGACTTACGTATCTTTTCCAAACTCTTAAAAAAAGAAAAAGCTTTTCAAAAAAAGTGAATGAAATTCATAAAATAAAAAGCATCAAACGTGTATTTTAGAAATAACTGTATGTTAGTATTAATATGGTAACTCTATGCCAAATAGCATTCAAAGCAAATAGGAGAAACAGAAATTTTAATTGACCATTTAAAATGCCTACCTACAGTTAGGACTTTGAAGATTTTTTTTTTTTTAACTTATCTCAAACAATGTATCTGTCCTGTTAGCATAAGAATGCAATGAGACTGATTAAAGCTTATGTTTATTTATGTAAATAATAATTATTTCTTCTTATTTTTGATGCAAAATTGAACCGAGAAATGTATTGGTTACTTCTCTATGGGCCCTGCCCATAAGCAGAGACTTAGTTCAAGTAACTTGCCCTATAAAGAGTGTGTGTGCAGGGGTCTCCTAACTCCTAGTCCTGGACACATGACACAGGGCTAAACAGCAGGAGGCTGCTGGCTCCAGGACGGACGGACTGTCTCTGTGTGCACTGAAAATGTTCCTCAGGCAAACAAGGCTCCTTAATTCCTGTCTGCTCATGGTGTCAGGAAGATGCATGTGCTTTTTACTTTTTATTTCAAAATAATTCTAGATTTAGAGAAAGTTACAAAGATAGTACAGAGTGCTCCCATATACCTGTCACCTAGCTTTCTCTAACATTAGCATCTTACGGAGCCATGGTACCTTTATCAAAACAATAAAATTAACATTGGTACAATAAAATTTACTGCAGAATTTATTGGATTCTCTCAGTTTTCCACTACTTATTGTCTGTTTTTCCTGTTCCAGGATCCAATCCAGGATACCATGTTGCATTTATAGGTGTATATATATATATCAATCATATCTCCTTATTCTCCTCCAACCTGTGACCGTTTCTCAGCCTTTCTTTATCTTTCATGACCTTGACACTTGTAAATGAGCAGTGTTCAGGTATTTTGTAAAATATTCCAGAATTTGAGCTAGTCTTCAGTTTTCTCATGAATAGACAGCATTCTGGTGTTAGAAGTGCATCACAGAGTCAGCGTGTCACAGCATGTCAAGGGACACATGATATCCACAATACTTAGTAGCGTTGAGAGCCTTAACCACACTTAGTTTAAGGGGATATTGTTTCTCCACTGTAGAAGTGACTACTTTCCCTCAGTCACAAGTCATCCCAGACTCAAGGAGAGGGAGACTTTAACTCCACCTTCTCAGAGAGAGAGGAGTATCAAACAATTTGTGATCGTATGTTAAAACCACCACAGTAATTGTTAAATTTTTGGAGACATATCTTTGAGTGTCATGCAAGCATCTGTTCCTCCTTAAAATGTCATCCACTTATTTTAACCACTAATCCAATGATTCTGCCTGCAATTATTATACTGTGTTTCTCATGGTGATTTTCTCTTTTCCTCATTCTTTTTTTTTTTTTTTGAGACAGAGTCTCTGCTCTGTCGTCCAGGCTGGATTGCAGGGCGCTGATCTCGGCTCACTGCAAGCTCCGCCTCCCGGGTCCCGCATTTCCTGCGCGCTCAGCGCTCCCGGCTAGCTGGGGGACTACAGCGCGCCCACCACGCCCGGCTAAGTTTTTTATTGTATTAGGTAGAGACGGGTTCACCGTGTTAGCAGGGAGGGTCTCGATCTCCTGACCTCGTGATGCGCGCCGTTTCGGCCCCCCCACCAGTGCTGTGGATTACAGGCATGAGGCACCTGCGCGCTGGACGACTTTTCCTCATTCTTTCTACACTTACCTCACCTGGAATTCCTTCTGAAAGTTATAGTTGTTTTCTGCGTGTTTATTGGCAATAACTGTTTTTATGATCAATTTGAATTCATTCTTTGGGTTGTAACTAAGATCATGTTTTCCTGTAGTTTTGTTGTGCCAGAATTATTCCCGTCTTTTGGAGATATTGAGAACTCTAAACTTGACTAATTCTGCAATGCCTTCACCTATTTGTTTTCTTAGAGCCTTGTGGTTACGCTTTATTGGACACTTACAAGAATTGTTGCAGAGCGTTGGGGGCTCTGCATAGAGATTGCGGTGAGAGGGAGGGGATAAATATGGGAAGGAAACAAGATAATAGGCCAATTTTTCTGCGTTGAAAGGAGGATAAAGATAAGTGTCTTACTTTTTTCTTTTGTCTTTTTTTGTTTTTTTTTTTTTTTTTTTGGCTGAGACAGAGTCTCGCTGTCTGTCACCAGGCTTGGAGGCAGTGGCTCGGATGCCGGCTCGCGGCGCAAGCTCCGCCTCCCAGGTTCACGCCATTTTTTCCTCCTGCGCTCAGGCCTCCCCAGTTACTGGGACTACAGGGCGCCGCCACTACCGCCCGGGCTAATTTTTCGTGTAGGTTTGTTAGAGGAGACGTGTGTCTTCTCCAGGTTAGGACCGGAGGGGGTGGATGGTCTCCATCTCCTGACCTCACAATCCACCTGCCTTGGCCTCCCAAAGTGCTGGGATTACAGGCGTGAGCCACTGCGCCCGACCAGTGATGTTTACTTTTTAACATTCATTTGGCAGTAATTTCAAAATTACAGAAAGAATAATTCAAAGAATTCCTGTATAGCATTAGCCAGTGCACCTATCATCACCATTTACCCTGCTTATCATTTGCCTTGTCTATCTACATATCTTTTCTAAATCACTTGAGATAAGTTGACACATCATAGTCCTTCCCCTCTAAATGCTTCAGTGGTACTTCCCAAGAACACAATCATCTTCTTACATACTTGCAGCACACTCATCAACTCTGGGAACTCCAACACTGATGCAATCCTGTAATTGTCCATGTTCCAGTTTTTTCTGTTGATTCAATACTGACCTTTACAGCATTTTGAAATCTAGTTCTTGAACAGACGGTGAAATCTAGTTCTTGAACTAGACTAAGTTTACGAGCCTACTCGTCCTGATCCCTAGAGTGGCACCTATCACCCCTCTCCTGGGTGAGGTTCCTATTTGATTTAGTCAGCAAGGCTCCCTGACCCCACCCACAGCCTGGCAGGATTGAGCAGGCAGACTGGACCTGTAGGGATCCAAGCGAGGCCCTTGTAGAGCATCTTAGAATGATTATAGTCTATGATGACAGATGCTTTCTAGTCCTTATTTTTCTAGGGCACGTGAACTTTTCCCTAAATGAAGGAGGGAAGTGGTTCAATCTGTGGGAGGTGATGACAGGACTTTTGACATCAGACATTGTGGATTCAGAGCCCAGTATCAGCGCTTACTGGTTCTGTGACTTAGACAAGAATTTAAACCTTCTACCCCTGGCTTCTTGTCTGGTTACAGGGAAAACAATAAGATTTACTTCCCAGAGCTCTTGATATCATTAAGTAAGATAATTTTTAAGATCACATTAGCAATTGCCAGATATGATTCATTGTCCACTGTCACTTCTGTGATGTCAGCACCCAATGAATAGACATTCCGGGTGCTGTGAAATCAGCAGTTCTGGACTCCTGGCTCTCCCCATCATTAGCTCTGGAACTTGGGGCAAGTCAACCTCTCAGACTCACTTTCTCGCTCACAAATACAGGAATAGTAAAACCTAGCACAATATGCTGAGGATTGAATGAGATGGCATTTGGTACTGTCCGCAATGCAGGTTGCTAATAGAAATATAGATGATGATGATGATCCATATTTATTATGGAGCAGATATTATGTTAAGTACTTTTCATGCTCCATTGTCTCATTTAATTCTCAGAACAATGCATTTTTCATGTGATAAAAGAAAGCTTCATAAAGGTCATATGGACTAAAAGTCACAGGGACTTCTCTCATAATTGTGGTGTCCCTCTTTCATGACTTGGTGTCACCCCAATCAATTCGGGTAAGCTCCAAGGGAATAACAAGGCTGTTACTGTGGACACATCCAGTATAAACTTTTTTCTCCCATGTA